TTGAACAATTTGTAACAAAAATAATTTAGAAAAATTAAATCTACCACGAATCAATTAATACAATCTAGGGTAAAAAAAAAATTAACTATATCAATCTTAGACATAGGAATAACTTAATATATCACAATCAATCTACTCAAGCACAATCAATCAAAATGATTCAATCCAAAAGGTAATTCATAACACATAAATTTCAAATATAACAACCCAAACCCAATTATTTAAAAAATTACAATTGTCAATATCAATTTGACGTACAAAAATAGTATAACAGAGAGACAAATTCCGAAATATAGTGGTGTAATTCTTCAACCCATTTGGCATAATATATCCTCCTGAGCTACAAATTATATTTCAAATATATCAATACACAAACATCAAATTTTCATAGTTCAGTTCAAATCCACATATCAATAAAAATTAAGTGGGTAAGAAAATAAAAACCCTAATCACTGCCCCAAAAAATTAAAACATATAATAATGATCAAAATCAAATAAATCATTCATGGTTTACCTACCGACAAGCCAACTTTGAAAGAATCTCCTAAACTCTCATCCTTCTAAAATATCTTCTCGATAGATCTTGACAATAACGATTGAAGTCAAAAACAGATAGAAGTACCAAGAGGGAGTAAAAAACTGATGAGAGCAAGTTTCTAGAGTGTAGAGCTAGAACATGCTAGAGCCTAAGGATCCATGGAATTCGAATGGAGAGAGACCACAAAGGAGACAGACGAATTTTTGGCCGGAACGAAGGAAACCAGGGAAGTATACCCCGATAAAGGAGAAGTCACATTTTACTTTTACTAGAGTTTAAAGGAAACCAGCATGTTTGTAAAAATGCATGACTACCCTTTAGTTTAAAAGCTTTTCGGTTGGGACAATCTCTAACAAATTCTAAAACTTTAAAAATTTCAAACTACACCCCAATTTTTAAAACATTGCAGTGGGGGCTGAGGTTAAGTTAATTAAGCATGATTAATGTAAGATTAGGACTTGATAAAGGACCCTTAAGTACACTTAGGTTGTAGTTACTTAATTAATGAAGGACCCTAATCATATGGATTAATTTAAGTTGATCGAGTTAAGACGTACGTAGTTAAAAGATTACCCTAGCTAATCAAGCTAGCATTGTTAACTTTTCTAAGAGAGGCTTGAGTAGAGAAAGAGGTGCTTGTATAGTGTAACTGTGTAAGAGAAAGAAAGTGCTAGGTGAAGAAACCTCTAGGGAGAGAAAGCTTTAAGAACTACAAGTGTCCCATCTATACATATATATGTGTCGTGTAATTATATATATCTTGTAATTAAACAAAGAGAAAAAGAGGAGTTTGTGTAGAAAAAGACGTGCTTGTGTAAAGAACGAGAGAAGACTGAGAGAAAAGAGGAAGAAAAGAGAGAGAAATTCAAGGAAGTAATCTAGGGTTTGGAATTACTCCCAAATTAGATATGATTCTTGGTTTTAAATAAATCGGAAAGAACTAGTTAATAACCACCAAGAAAGAGAAGTAAACAAGCAATCCTATTCTAGTTAGTTTAATTATGAGGCTAGGAATATTTCACGTGATACGAACCTTAGAGTTGCTAATAATGGAGTTTAAACACTATCCAAAATTTCAGAAAATTCCAGACAAAAAGTGTTTTCAGGATTATAAAAATGACTTAAAATGGATTGATGATTATTAAACTATGAAGGTTTGAAATAGATTAGTAAAAGGATCTTTTGGCTTTGGTTTCATGCAAAAAAAAATAAAATCTCGAATTTTGATGAATTTCTAAAGTAATCTTGAAACCTAAAAATCTGCAGCTTATGCTCGGTCTTACAAGTTGCTTTGAACATGTATTTGATCTCCAAAAATAGTAATTTTTGGTGAAAACGAAGTTCTTTGAGTCTTAGTTGCCACTAGCCTTATGAAGGTTCAGCTTGGTTACGAAGCTTTTAGAGTGCAAAGGTCTAATCTAACAAATTATGGAAATAATGCATAAACGGAAACTTTAAATGGGATTAAAACCGAAATCTTGGACTTATCGACCAAGAGGTTTAAAGGACTGAAATTGATGTCTTTCCTCTTACTTGGAATGAGAAGAAAGGAATAAAAATAAGTACATGATGACAATCATTAGGGTCAATAGTCAACATATTAAGTACTTACGAATAAGAAGTACTACATATTTATTGTGCAATGAAAGTAATGTGTATGAAATATGTGTAGGATTTGTTAAAGGGAGTCAATAGTTAAAAAGCCTAGTGAAGAACTAAGGTGAGTAATCTTATACTGTGGAGTGGAATTTTGATGCTTAAATCTTTTCTAAATGTTACCATATGCTTATTTGAGAAATTATGTATTGATTACACATTTGTGATGCCGTGGATTATCAAATAACTTAAAAAGTGCCTTTGTATTACGTGTCAATGCCATAATAGGTCCCCACCGAGCAACTCAAATCCTGAAAAGGTCCGAGCCAACGGACTCAAATCTGGTATGGATCTGATCCAATAGGATCAAATCCGAAGAGCATAAAATAAGAATGGCTTGAGACTAAGGCTGCCAAGCAAATTCTATGTATCAAATTTTGGATTGATTTCTCATTCCAATTGATAGTAGTCCATTCAATAAATTCATTCCATGCTTGGATTGCCAGAAAAATCCACTAGTGAGCATAATATTATTCCAAACACTTGATGAATAAGTGCACTCAAAAACAAGTGAGGATAGGTTGGCTGCATAAGATTGAATTCTATCGAGGGTACTCAGTCTGGACCTTACAATTAACCAAAGGATAAAACTCATTTTAGGAACAACATTCCCAAACCAGACAAGCTTATACCATGGAACTGGGAAACTCTTCTGTCTAATATGCTTTCAAGCTGAAAAAATTGAGAAGTTTGAATTGGAAGAGGAAATCCAGTTGACCTTGTCCTCAGTTGAAGGGTTGGGAAAATATGAGGGTATTGTGCTGGTAATAGCGTGAGAGGAAGAGGAGATAGAAGGTGGCCATTGACAATAATACTTTTAACAAGAGACTCTTTTGACCGTCCCTTGTCTTAGAGAAAATTAGCTCTGCATACAAACATCAAAGGGCCAAGAGGGTGCCAGTTGTCATACCATAGCATAGTGCCTTCACCATTGCCAATTGTATGGACCATAGGTGGTCGAATAGTCCCTCTGAACTTCAACAAATTCTGCCAATTCCAAAAGCTAAACTGCCAATTCAACACATAAATATTGTCAAACCTCAGTTTTGTCTAATAGTAACAATAACAATAGGTTAAACCGTTAAAGCCGGACAGGTCGATGAAACAAAGGCATAAGAGGATCATCTCTCAACCGGATTAATGATGTTTTGCCGGACTAAACATGATGTCAAGAACTGCCAAGCTACAAGCTGGTGATTTTCCCATGAATCAGTCCTCTTTTTATCAAATTCCGATCAGCCCACTTCTGTATATATATCGCTCTTTGTCACAGTTTATCTTTATAGCTATCAATCTCTCTCTCTCTCTCTCACACACACACACACATGGAGATGAGGAGGCTCTCTCTGTTTCTGGTGCTTTGCTCAATAGTGTTAGCCATGCCGGCAGTGTACGGCACTGCCCAAGGTCCAAAAGAGGTTGAAGAATGGTTCCAAATCCAAAAGCTTCGCCGTGTAAAGGAAAAGGTGACAAAGCTTCACTTCTACTTCCATCAAAAACTTAACGGCGAGAACTTAACTGCCGCAACGGTAGCCAAAGCCAACATGACCGATACATCACCCACCTTCTTTGGTTTAGTTAACGTGATTGATAATCCGTTAACAGTCAAGCCCCGACGGTCTTCCAATGAGATTGGTCGAGTGAAGGGACTGTACGCTGCAGCCTCACTAGAGGAAGTGGCCCTATCTTGTGTCCTTAACTTCGTCTTCACCAAGGGAAAGTACAATGGCAGCTCTCTAAGCCTATTGGGTAACGACCCGTACCGGCTTCCCGTCCGGGAGATGCCCATCGTCGGTGGGTCTGGTGTTTTCCGACTGGCTCGTGGAGTTGCTAAGTTTAGGACCTATTTCGTAGGCTTAGGGGCACCTCCTCAAAATGTTACTGTGGAGGTGGATATTGTGGCCCTGCACTACTGAGTTAAGATACTCAACACAAATTAAACGGGGAAAAAATGAGAATAAAAGAGGCAAAGGATGAAACTTGTTTGATCGATCTCTCTCTCTATATATATATGTATATACCTCTCTCACATGCAAATTAAATATTAGGTCTGGCGTGTGAAATTTTTTAATTATTTGGTATGATTAAACAAATAATTTCTTGTTACTCTGTTAATTCATTATCTACTCTAAAAATTTAAATTATAAAAGATGAAATAATTTATATATTTATATGTCAATATTCTTTATGAACATAAGTCTATACTTTTTCACCGAGTGATTTTTAAACCTAAAAATCTAATCTTATTTGTCAACTTAATTTACTATGATTTTTTGATTGACTGTAAACCTGTTAAATATTTGAACTTATTCTTAATTCAATGATTATAATAAAATTATAGCATTAAGTAAACAAATAAAATTAAATAATAATATTATTGAGATTTAATTTACTAACTTAATTTGTTGACCTAATTCAATATGACATTTGAATTAATTGTGGGTTCCATCAAACATTGAAATTTGGTGTTTATTCAAAGGTTTCAAATGAAACCATTAAGTCAATAAATTATGTCAGTTTTTTAGGTCTAAATAATATTTTCCAAAATTAAATTTTGAAATCTAAATAGCATTATTTTTAAATAATTGGCTTACGAGAGAGAGAGAGAGAATCACTTTTGTCTAAACGATAATAAAACCCGAAAGATCCATTAAAGAAATAGGTCATAAACGTAGCAACTCCACGAGCCAGTTGAAAAACACCAGACCCACCCACGATCGGCATCTCACGCACCGGATGGCATAGTGGGTTCTGGCCCACTAGGGTTAGAGAGCTATCCTTGTACTCCCCTTTTGTACAAGCGAAGTTAATGGCACAAGATAGGCTCACGGTTCCCCTCTTCAAGGGAGGTCGCAGAGTGCAAACCATAGGCTCGACCAACCTGCAGCTTGGGAAGAGCTTTGGGCTCAGCTGTCACAGGATCATCAGTCACGTCAAATACGCCGAACGTGGTCGGCGATCCCTCCGTCGTGTTGGCTGTGGCCACCCTTGCTCCAGTTAGGCTTTTGCCGTCTAGTTGTTTGTGGAAGTAGAAGTGAAGCTTGATCATTTTTTCCTTTTCATGGCTGAGCTTTTGGAACTAAGCTTCAACCTCTTTGGGACCTTGGATAATTCATGTCCTCTTCTCTTTGTTTACAAGAACGTTTTGTAATTTTTATTTTTTAATGGTAAAATCTTATTGCTTTACTTCATATGTCGACCAAAGCTTGTAGATTCTTTTTGTTATATTAAATAACTACTTATTATCTGTGTTTGAAGATACAAAATAGTAAAAAAAAATATCAATTATAAACATATTTTTATTCATATCCAAAATTAAAACACAAAAATTAAGAAAAAATAAAAGAATTTAAACATCAGTTGCAATGAGATGAGCAATGGTAATGGTAGTAGGCGACAATGGTGATGAAGGAAGACGATGATGGTTGTGATGGGCGACGATGACCGTGGTGGTTGTGGTGACAACAGTGGGTGGTAACGGTGATGGTGGTGATGAATTTTGGGTGACGATAAAAATAGTGGCAGCTATGCAAAACGGCAATGGTGGTGATAGGCAATGATGATGGTGGTTGGCAATGGTAGTGGTATGAAAACAGTGGTGATGGTGGTGAGTATTGACGATGGTGGTGGTGGGTATGAGTGGTGGTGAGTGACAACGGGTGCTTGCAAGGGACAGTCATGGTGGGTGGTGGAAAATGGCGGGTGGTGGTTATAGATGTTAGGGGTATAACTTGGGTTGGGTAACTCGATTTTAACTCAAGTCCAACCCGAAAAAATTAGAACTTGGGCAAGAGTTTTTAATACTTGGGTTGGGCTTAGGTCAAAAAATTTCAATCCGAATTCAATTTGGGTTTGGTTCAGGTTAAGGCCTCGTGAACTCGAATTTAACCCGAACCTGACAAATAAAAAAAAAAAATTATATATATAGTACTGATTTTTTATTTTTGTTCTATCATTCTCTTTCTCTCTCGTTCTCTTTGCCTCTCTTGTTCTCTCAGCCTCTCTCGTTAAAAATTTGGTTGAAGTTATTGGTTGTTAATTTAAGTGAATATTATGTAGTATTATATGTATTAGGTTTAGAACAACAAGCCTATTTTGGGCTCTACCCGAATTCAACCTGAACCCACCCAAATTAAACTCAAGCAGTGCTCGGATTGAGTTCTCCAACTCGAGGTAGGGTTAGGGTTAGGGTTGAAGATTATATACCTAGGATTAGGCTAGGGTTGATTGTCCAACCCGCCCAAATTGCACTCCTAATAGATGTGGTAAGGGTGGGTGGCAGCGGTGGTGGGCGATGATAGATAGTGGTGGTAGGTGTAATACAGGTGGGTAATAGTGGGTCTAGCGATGATGGTGGGCGACGATAGGTAGTGGTGGATGACGACGGTGATAAGTAACAACAAGTGATTGTGGGTTATGATAGTGAGTGGTGGCGAATGGCGGTGGTGGTCATAGATGTGGTGGGGGTGGGTGGCGTCGGTGGTAGATGATGACGAGTGATGGTGGCAGGTGTAATGGGGAAGGGTGATAATGGGTGACGACGATGGGTGATGGTGGGTTGTGGTAACGGGTGATGGTAGTGGTGGGCAACTGTGGTGGGATGATAGTGATAGTGATAATAAATATAAGAATGAAATGAGGAAGGTGGTGAATGGTGGCATTGGGTGGCAGTGATAGCAATCAGTGGTGGTGATAATGGATGGGGTTGGTGGTGGGGTGGCGGTGGCGGTGGTGGTGGGGTGGCAGTGGCGGTGGCGGTGACGATAGTGAAATGTTTTAAAGAGAATTGATTTTAAAGAAGTAGAGTTTTTTTTTTATATACTTTTATTTACTTATTTAGTTAAATGGTAAAACTATTTTTTACCTATTTGGAAGTAATTAAAATAAGTTGTTCCAAACACTATTTTTTTTTTTTAAATCTTAAAAGCACTTTTAAAAAATCACTTCAAATACACCTTTAGAAAGCCTATTTTTTTAATTAAATTTAAAGATTTAATATTAGTCATCGAATTAACTTTAAAATAAAATTTAAAATATTCTCAATCTTGAAAAATAAAAATTATTTTTTATATTATATTTTATTAAATAGATCGAATAATAACTCCAAAGTCAGAGTCAAAGTCATCTCTAAAGTCCATTACGTAATCTAAACAAGGGTATCGTGCTATCTTTTAACAGCACATTTCATATCACAAGATACAACTAAAAAACCCAAGTTGATGCTGAGTTTTCAATACAAATACATATGCCAATAATCTTTTGCTCAATAGATGCCCCATGAAATTCTCCAAATTAAAAAAAAAAATCATACTAGATTTGAAATACAAGTCATACATAACAAAATTATTAACTATAATTTTAATTTTAATTAGTTCGAGTTATAATCATATTAACCTACAAGACCAACTTTATAATGTGATGGATACACACTCTAGTATATAGGACAGAAATATGACTATACAAGATACAACCTCGATTATGCACAATTAAAAAGTGTGTCGTACCAAGGTTGAATCTATTTTACATGATTTAGATACAAGACAAACCTAGTACGTCACTGTCCACGACCACCCATTTTTCTCGTAATATATTTATAAAGTCAACAAATTGTGTTGTAACTTTAACCTTATTTTTTTTTAATTCTGATACCACATCAAAAAGTAATTTGAGGATCTATAGTCATACCAAGAAATGATATACTTATAACAATTTTAGGTTTGAAGCAGGTATTATATGAGTAAGGTTAAGTGCAGTCTACTTTATATGGGAAAATATTCGACTCTAAAAACTAATATATTTTGAGTAGATGTTTCTGCATCATTAATTTTTCAATTTCGAAGAAATACATTCTTAAACATGTTGAAGGATGGTTAAATGATCAGAGTAGTTTGAACTCCATTTGAAAGTGATTTAATGGCAAGATGGTACTGTACTTAACTCAACTCAACAAAATCTCATTTTAATATTTTTTAGGTCGATTACATAAATTATATTTTGTCATTGAGCTCTATTAAGATCCATTAAACGAAGTAGGCAAAAGTCTTTCAATTTTCATATTTGACTTTTTGAAAAATTTTCCTAATTTTTAATTTCATAAATTGTTATAAAGATTAAGTGGAGTACTTGAATAAAAATTAAAAGGGAAGCGTAATTTTAGGGCTTTGGGGAAGAAAGGATAGGTTAAGGTTGGATGGGGATAAGGGATAGTCGGTGGAGAAAGAAGGAAAATGGAGTAAGGATAATATTTACAATAGTAGGTATTTTTTATTTTCTTAAAAAATATTATAAGGTGAAAGTATATGTTTGAATAAGAATATGTCGGCATGGGAATTACTTGTTTTTGTCCTATTGAATTTACTATGATGTAAATTCCTTTTCACCAGAGCACTTATATGGATAACCAGCTAAAAAGGAAAAATGAGGGGCATGAGAGCCAGCCATGACAAAAAAAACCCTCAAGGCAAGAACAAAGTTCAAAGAGACTAAGACTTACCGACGTCGTTGCATACAGAGTCGTGGTAGTAGAAGAATGCAAAAAGATCGCTCAGACCCTATCAATATCAGACTTTGGGATAACCGAGGCAATGGTCTCAGCAGCGAGGCCTAAATCATCAATGAGTGAACTCTTGCTCATCTCAAACTTTACAGGTAAACCCTCTACCCGTATATGAGGACTCTTCCCAAGAGATCGAGAAGAGGAAGACCCTCATAAGAGGGGAGCGAACGACTCCAAAGCTCCAGCAACCTCCGCTGACGAGGGGGAGAATGAAGCCCTAACCTGATCAATAGATCACGTGGTGATCGAGAAGAGGTCAAATCGGCCTCTAGCGAAGTTGACGGAGGAGGAATGATCATTTAATGAGGTAGGAGAGAAAGTGGAGGCACTTCTACCCTCTGCAACTTGAAAGAAGGACTAAGTCCATATTCCGCTCCAACCTTGCACTTACCTTTGCCTTTCATGTCTGCAATCTTAGCCTTCACCGCCTCTGCATTTGGAGCAATTAAGCTGGAACCTAAGAAAGCAAACAAATCAGCTAATACACAAAAAAAAAAAGAGAAAAATCTTACCAGTAGGATCCTTTACACCAGCAACGGAGATGGGGATTAGAGTTTCAACTCTCACATCGAGAGGGCTGAACTCTAGCTTGGTGAGCAAAGAATGCTTAATCAAGCTAGAATATTTCTCCAATTCGCAATCCTTCAAGCTCACTAAAACTCTCTTGTCCTCGGCACTAAGGTGGAGTCGAATATCTAAAAAGAATAAGAAAAGCAAGGTCAGCAGAATGAAACATTCAAACTAGCTCAGGTCTGCGTTGGCAAAACTTACCCAGATTATCAAGGACAGATCAAGCCCGAGGCACAGAAAGTGTATCAACTACATCTTTGGGGTTGAACTCTCATTCTTTCCCCAATATAAAGAAGAAAAATTTTTTACAACCCTTATGCGAGCTTGGAAGGTCGTTTATAATGAGACAGACCTTCACCCATTTGGAAATATCCTTGAATTTGTATGCACGATTCGATTTGTCACACCACGGTGGTTGGACTTGGACCCCCATTGGAAAATTGTATCATAGATGTGGGTCCCACATTTTTAAAGAATTTGTATTATCTTGGTGCTTCAAACCCGGCAGGCTTGGTTTTTGAACAGGCAAACATGATTTTAAAAAAATAAGTTATTTTAACATAATTAAATACTATACAAATCTCTTAAATACAATTGTGCGGGCTGGTTTTCGCACAATATTGATAAATGACAGATCTTTTTCGCGGTGAACTCGTATTCGTCGAGAAGATGGATCCGACAACTAGGAATGAGTTATAAAGGCCAAAGGGAAGCCAAGGAGTGATGATAAATTATTTTTGGGGCTGTTGAATCGATGCTGGTGGCTCGCAAGAGGTTCCTAGAACACAAAAAACAGATTAGAAGGGCGCCAAAGTATTTTTCGCCGTATCCCCTCCGACGATCAAGTTAGTTTCTTGAGAGAGGGGAAGAAGAAAACACCGTATGACTCTTGAAAGGTGATTTTGCGTACCTTTGTAATGTATTTTTGAGGACTATTTATACATTCAAAGACTCATCATTATTGGTAGTCTAAGCAGTAGATAGCCTTCAGAGTTGGGGCAGTGTGCCTCCTCTTTTGCATGGGGAATGTTCCTGTATTAATTGCTCGGGCCAGTTAATGCTCTTT